TCAAGTATTTGGAGCTGCAGTCTCCGCCTCAGCTCCCGTCCCACAGAACACCCGAGCCCCCGCCTCTCAGCTCCATCAGACTAGTGGCAGCTGTAATTAGGAAACACCTGGGGTAGCTGCTATGCTGCCGAGTTCTTCATTTGAACTACTTCTGAGTCCTTCTCTCATTAGAAAGATGTGATGTTGTGAACCGCATCATTGTTGTGATGAGGAGCTCAAGAGGATCTGTTGAAAAGGGAAGGAGCATATTGAAGCGACAGAAGCCAATTTCAAGGCATCTGTCTTTTTTTTTTTTTTTTTAGAAAGGGGACTCTGAATGACATTGTCATGATTAAATCTGCATAGAATATTAACAGTTTTACGTGAATAAACTTTCCATTTTTTGAAAAATATATTTATTACATAATTACTCATCATATCATTATATATATTTATAGAAACAAAACTAGCAATCTGCAACAAAAATGCACACAATCACACATTATAGATGAAGGGCAGGTTTGTAGAGACTGATGAAAAGGTGAATCAGGAACAGACCGTGGTGGTACGGAATGATTTTTGAGGTTGTTGCATTTAGCTTACCTACTGTGAAGGTCATAAAAAAAAAAATAGTTTGTGCAAAATTAATCTATGGTTTGTAGCATTATCCGTACTTTGTACATGGAGGACCTGGAGTTTATGGCAAAAGCCAGAGTACAACCTGAACAGGTCACCAGTCTATCATAGGTTCACCAGGGGCATGCACACACCAAGTCTGGTGTGAATATGGCAGGCCCCTTATAATGGGGTAGAAGAAAAATCCCTAAACAGTATGGCAGCCCTGCATTACAAAGCAGAATATATCTAAAAGATGTACAACATATTCATTGTCACTGTGACTTCTATTGTAGGCACAGGAGGAAAACTCCAATACTGAGTTTTCTGTTCAGATGTGTCTCAGCAGTCTTTATTTTTAAAGCCCATATGCGTTGTCATTTTTTTTTTCCTGAGCACATTGCACAACAAAAGCTTCACACAACAAACAAACAGACCCACAAGGCTCCTCTTAAACACCTCACTGTATCAAGAGTCAGACAAAATCTGTCTTTGAGCTGACTCTGCAAGCTCATTATAACGCGTCTAATCCTTCAAACACACGCGGTTCGTCTCGCTCTCCCTCGGTGCTCCCCACGGTCTGAGAAGCATAACATCAGTCTTATGGGGAATGAGACATACAATGTGAGCCCCTGATCCAACCCCCTCGCTCCCGCTGCTTGGCTGAACACACTTTGCATCCTCCGCTTTTTCTCAGAGCCCACTCAGGTGCATTATGGAAATGTCTTCTGTCATCTTCAGTGTTGCAAAAGCTTCCTCTGGGATATACAGTCGCAGCAAATGGCTGCATCTGAAGAGCAGACATTAGTGATGAAATAGCTGTTCAACAGTTCAGGGCATATCACTGACAGGTCTTCCTTTCCCTCAGTGATGCTCTGAGTGTTCTGTTGAAGCCCGTTGAAGGCTGAGTTGACCAACACTGTTCCACGATCAAGAACTCTCTGTATGAGATGATGACTTACTGAATGTACGGCTGCTGCTTCCGGCTCTGTCCATCACAATCATCTTGAGAGAACATCTGAGATTAGTTCAGATCTCCTGTAATGTTTTGTTGTTGTTTGCTGTAAAGTTTAAGGTCATGCGGTTACATTTAACTCTATGGGCGTTCAGGAAGATTTATATATAAATGACACACTTTACAACAACAATTCACAGTAGTCATAGGTGACCTTGCCGTTGTAGCGTGTGATTTAAAGTCATAACAGAAGAAGAATGCCATGCAAAGCACAGTTTTGTTAATATTACTATTTTATTATGCAATTTTTTTTCTTCACATTTTCTCTGGAATAAAATAAATGTTGTAGCAGTTGGTTTGAAAAATGTTATTGATTTCTTATGTAAACATGGGCTACAGTCGTTTTTGGTTTCAGGACCATGGACAGCTTCAGATTGATATACCTGCATGCCATTTTTCCGAGCAGCTCCTTCTGGGACCACATAATGAAAGGGAACCAGTCATTCTAGCGTCATCGGTCTATTAGTGTGTTCTGACCTGATTAACCTGAAAAAGAACCAGGTTGCATGGATTTTGTTGCTGTTATTTCAGTTAGGATAAATCCTTCCCTTTACGCTGTTGACTATAACGATAGGGCAGATTTAAAGGGTCCTGGTCTTTTTTTGAGACTTTTTCTTTATTCCCTTGTTGTTGCACATTTCCTCAGATTGTATCCTCTCAGTCAGGGTAGGATTATGCAACAGCCAAACAAAGCAAAAACACAAGCATGCGCATGTAAAAATGACACTCTGCTCTTTGTTTATACACCAGCTGCTTGTTCGGCACGGCTCCTGACGAGGGAGTGAACCGTGAGCTGTGTGTACTTACATCATTGTCCAAAATCATATTTTCTCTTGTCGTGGTCTTGGTACCCGTGGGGATGTGAGAACCAACAGTTGCCGCCATGAAAGGCTGAGTGAAATGGGCTATTTGCTCTCTCTGAGTCACACATACACGAGGGTCAGAACTTTAACACCTTCATTTCAGCCAATTAAATACGTAGATTTCAATGCATTAAAAGTTTTAACGTAAATAATTATATGTTTTATTTGCATACAAAGGTTCCGGCTAGACATGCAAAACATGTCGCAGCAACAAGCACCGATGTGCTCAACAGCATCCACATTTCTAAAATAGTATTTTTCCAAAGAAGCACTTGAATGATTAGGGCAGCGACTGAAAGGTGAATAACTTTAAATATTCCGTATTAGCAGTAAAAAGTGTTTCTGAATTGAAAGTGTATATATATAAACTGTAAAGTTTGTGGTCATAAATATTTGCAGAAACTCGACGGAGGCCGATGTTAAGGAGGCTGTCATCCTCAGATTTCGTTGAGTATCTTTCCTTTGTGTAACACGTTTTATACAGTGCTAGAAAAAAGGTCAAATCAAACCACATAAATTAAAAAAAAAAAAAAAAACAAGATTAGGCCTGCACCACTCAACTAAACAAGATAAGAAGAGAGAAACTATATAATTTAAATTGAAACAAAGATGAAATAATGATTGCGAGGCTGATTGTCTAGACTCTGCAGGCCCTCCTGTGTAAACAAAGACAGCAACAGAGGTGCTTGCCCTATGTCTGCCCATCAAATTTAAAATGGTTCAAGTTAATCGATCGATGTTACACCATTGTGTGGACAAAACTCAATTGGTTGCCTCACTCACTTTGCAGAGCATTCTATTAAAATATGCAGATAGGAGTAGCACTTGCTGTTTATGCTTTTGTCCTGTTGTAAGTGAATATGTGGTGTAGGTGAGTGGGTGTAGGGACAGATGTTCATGTTGTGTTTGCCAGAACCTGCCTGTGTGACTGCGTGTGTGTGTGTGCGAGCCGCTATAAATCCAGCTATCGCTTGTTGGAAACTAGAGAATGGTCACTCTGTTTGAAAGACAGAGTGAGATACTCCACACTAATCACGCCGTCTCGGAGCACCGCAGCGGACCGGACCCCGTCTGAGCATGCTCATTCGTGGGATTAATTAGCAAACTTCAATGAGTACCTAATGATGTTGTCAGAGAGCTTTTCAGTGGCTCTTTCCCCACTTCTGCAGTAAATGTGTGCTAAAACTGGAGGCATGAGTTTGGCTGTGCGGATGGAGGGAGTTGATTGTCACTCTGTAATTTTCGGTCTGACAACCTTGTAAGTGCGAGAGGCGTAGGTGTGCCAGTGACAAGGAGCTTGCTTTCAGCTGACAGCCCCACAATGCCTGTTACCCAATGTTTCCCACCAGTCACATTCGCATTATTCAAATCTTTGGAAATGTCAACAGAGCAAACCTCCAACTTTTTGGAGGTTTGCTTTCAATTTGAAGCCCCCAGAGATCCGCAGACCCGTTATAGAGCAGCAACAGGAGGCCTACGGAAAATATAGACCTCTGTTTGGAGTATTTGTAAGTGAAGACAAGGTTTGATAACCACAGCTTTAGGTCGTCTCGTTTGGCTTCGGACACTGAGCCTCGCTGTACGTCCACCATCCTCAACCTGGAACCATTGAACTCTGTGTTTGTCAGACATCGTGGTGAACAACTTCCTAGTGTCTGTGTAAGTACAGATGTGCTGAATGACAGGCTGTGCTATCAGTAGAGCTGATGGTGTTTTAAAAAACCAAGGAACAGTGTCAGAGGTTAGCGATCGGCTAATAAGCATTCTGCTCCAGCGAAGACATGTGATTCCCTCTGACATTAACCCACAATTTTTAGATAGTTTAAGAAAACATTGACTGAACTCACAGCTTGGTGCTGGCCCATTTTAATGGAGCTGTTGTCAAAGAGTGTAATAAGTTTTTATATTATTGTCATCAAAGATTTGCCACCCTCGTGTAATTTTCTTGGTTTATGAAGGAAAAAGCCTTTAGCAAGAGGTTTATAATAAACAAACACAAATGGTAAAAATCTAATTAGGAATCAACACTGACTTTTTAATTAAAATATAACAAAAAGTTATGCTCATTGTTGATCCAAAGATCAGTCTTAGGACTCAGGGAGTTCATATAAAGACTTAAAGGCTTAAGAAAAACAGAATAGATGTGATGTTTGTTAATGTATCTCTTGCAAGAAAAATTTAAAACAGCCTGAGTATGGAAATGGTCAGAAGCTACTTGCTTTTCAGTAGCTACAGTTTCACTGCTTGCTTCTCCCCAGTCGTGTTGTGCAAACAAGCATGATTAGGTTGATATCTCGGGGAAATTGGATAGTAGTCTGGCTCATGGTTCACTGCAGACAGAAACTAAGTTCTTTGATTTCACTGGGAGCCTCTTGGGGTTCTGCTTTTTCTCAACACAGCAGCGACTTCAGAAATGTCTCTCAGAGGGACAAGCAGAGACCAATCACATTTCAGTGTCGCACCCTATAGGAGTCTCTCGTCTCATTGATGTCACTTTGTTTAACTCTAATTCCTTCTGTTTTGTTCAGGTTCGTCTTGGTATTCACCTGCCTGGTCCTTTCTGTGTTCTCAACCATCCCTGCTCATCAGGACACCTCCTCCAAATGCCTACTAATTCTGGTAAGAAAACCTTGAACCAGAAAAAATAAAAAAAATCTAATTCGTTCTTCTGAGCCCATCGCACAGGAGTTTAAACATTAAACTGTCTGGAGCGGGATAATGGCCAACGCTGAGGGCTCTTCTCATTTCTCTAATATGCAAATCCTGAACCTTTTATTAGCAGAGTCTGTGGACTGGAATAAGGATGTCACAAGAGTTGTTCCAGTCCACTCATGTGACTCTGTTTACACTTGACTCAGAAATGTATGAAAAACATATAAAGCTCAGTTTGAAAGTCAAATTAAAGTTCTTATATTAATTAGTTCTTTTTTTTTCTGGAAATTTTGCATTATATTAATTCTTCAAAAAATAGTTTCAAATTTTTAGGAGAATGTTTCTTAAGGTCATTTTATTTTCATTTAATCTTTAAAAAGTATTTACACTTTTTTTTTTCTTCTCGCAGTTGTCAAAAAGTTTGAAAACCAGTGCTCTCCATCAGGCCTGTATGAGTGTAAGACTCTGACCACAGAGCAGACTGTGCACTCTTCCCCAGAGTAAAAATATAAGTAAATTTGTTTTCCATGTGCTGATGAGGTACCTTGTCCTCCATATGACACTGTTCACTGCAGTTAATATCAGTGCAATTGGCTGGTCTCAGTCTCATTGTTGGAGAAAATGTTAAATAACCTTTCTAAGTTTTCCTTATTGTATAAAATATTGACCATCACGTAGTTCCGTGACAAATAAGTGAGAAACAAATTAAGAGCCTTATTAATTAACTGTGAATTTTCTTTTTATTAAACCTATTTTGATTTTATGTTTGACAAACGTTTGGCTGTCAGCAGAGTCTAGACTGGCTAAATAAATGCTAACAGTATCTCTCCAAGCATCTCCCTAGACTCTAGACAAAGTCGTCAAGGAGAAACTCAGTGCCACATTTGTTCACCTGTCCCTAATTTATTTTGGCTGCAAACTTTCAAACCCTCAGTTACAGATTCTTTAAGTACCCATAACACCAAATGGAGCTCATTTGGTGTTATGAGATAGAGATTTAAGTAGAACAGATAGAGCCACCGGTGGGCACAGGAGCAAAAATGCTTTTAAAAGTCTCCTAAAATTATTTTACATTTGTGGGTTTTTTTTTTCCTTCCTCTTCTTTGAAAAGCCTGTAGCAGAAAGGAAAGGTCACTCTTTTGTGCACTGCAGCAATTCCTGCAGACAATTGCCCCTGCAGCTGTCGCTACCATTTCACAAAGTGCACCCCACTAATTGCATCAGAGTTACATCTAATGGAAGCAGAAGCAGTGTGTGTGCATTAACAGAGGACCTACCTTAGTCATTATCACACAAAAAGCTCTCTGCACCTGGTGACAAACAATAAGGCAATAATGAGGCAGAATGTGTGATGAATCCACAAAATAACAAGCAAAGCTTGAAATGCAAATATGTTCTTTGGAGACTAAATATCGCAACCTCTTTAAAAAAAAAAAAAAAAAAAAAAACTAACCAAAGGATTAGATGAAGGTTGTTAACGTCACGTTTGCTCCACTTCATTGGTACCAATTTCTGGCAGGCCTTCTTTGCTTGCAAACATTCATCCAGTAAGTTCTCTCGACTGGACATCTGCACTCCACAATTTGCAGTACATCTTGCAATATATGCAAACCAGTGATGTCTTAAATGCTTCTGTTTGCAAGGAGCCAACATATATGGCAACTGCCAGGTTATCTGCCGGCAAGCATAGAAGACTACACTTATGTCTGCTGAACTAAAACACCTCCTGCCTGTGCTTTCTGTCATGTACCTCTCTCTCAAGATTCTCCATTTGCTTGTGTGACTTTTCCAACAGGAGTTTGTGATGATCGTTGTGTTTGGTTTGGAGTATATCATACGCATCTGGTCGGCAGGATGCTGCTGCCGCTACAGAGGATGGCAGGGCCGTCTGCGCTTCGCCAGGAAGCCCTTCTGTGTCATAGGTGAGTTAAACCTCTCCATCACTCTGACCATTGGCCCTTACTGATGGAGAACACTTACTGTCTCTGAACTCAGTCCCACAGCAAGCCGTAATGACCATGGTTTGCTGGTTTCATTTTAGCTGTTGTCAGAGGTTTAAAAAGCAGAGAGGAGGCAAAATGTTATCCTTTCCTATGTTCAGACTTGGATATTTTGGCTTTGAACATACAGAAGTGTGATATTGAGGGGTAAAGAGGCACGGTTTATGCTGCTTCTCTTGCCTGGCCATAGCTGCTGTTTGCAAGGCTGAGGGAATAAGAGGAAAGCAAAAGGGTGAACATCAAGCTCAAACGTCAAGAAAAAAGAGTTAAATTTGAGTGAACTTTGAAAGAGAGCAAAAATGTTTATGATAGAATGAAAGCAAGGTGTCATCTGTGGCTTTCTGGAAAGTGGTTGCTTCAGGCTTCTTTATATGTTCATGTTCAAAAATAAAAGCAAGATTTTAGGAGGTTTTATTCTGAGCAAAAAAAATCACTGCTGCAGAAAGCCCTTTCATATGTAAAAGACTTTGACCCGAACTGATATCCTCTAGAAAATCTGGCATGAATAAATACATAAAAACATTCTTGGAAAGAAAAAGCAACAACAAAAAAAAAAAAACATTTTGGGAAAAATAGAGTTGATTTTGAAGGCCTTGTAAAAATCAATTTAAAATCTGAAAAGTG